TCCTTGAGGTGGTTGTATGCCATGACGCCTTCGATAGCACGGACACGGTCGACATTCTTAAGTGCGCTCTCACCGCGGTCGTAGATGCTACCGCTGCCGACTGTACTGCCACCTGCTTCCTCGGCAGTGTCGGAGATAGAAGGTTCGTAAAGCTCTTCTGCATCAAGAAGTTGTTCGTGTGGTTGTAGAAGGGGGAAGCATGATGAACAACGGCATAGATGCCCTCGGAAATCTTCTTTGAAGAAGAGGGAGATTTGGCCGTTGGGTGCTTGAGGTAAAGCGGTGAGATTGCAAGGTCCCTTGCCATCTTCTCGAATCGCTAGCTCAGGTGGATTAACACTGTTTGCTTCTATAAGCATATCTGTTGAAGATTCGCCATTACCCGCCACAGGATTTCCCTTATGCCGTTTTGAGGATAATTCTTCATCGTCCTCTGCCTTGCGCTTGTTTAAGATAGGTAGGTAAGACGTGACCAGTTCCTCTGCTTTGGCGAGCGCTCCAGTTTCCGGAGAAGGTGCCGCACTTCGTCTAAATACAGGCGGTAGGAAGCCTGTCGTGCCAGCATACCGCTTGATCCATGGATTTGCTTCCACACACTTGTAGCAAATGAAGCCTTCAAAGTCATCTTCTTCGGGAAATCCAGGTGGCAGCGGCGGATCCTCTTCCTCATCTAACTCGCTAGCTGGCGAAGCTGTTGGTACAGCGGCTTCTTTGTTGTCTATCCCCTCAATCTTGCTGTCTCTGCTCCTTTCATCAACCACAGCTTCTGCGACCTCGGCAATAGACTCTAAAAATCCTTCGTTCTTGGGCTTCCGTCCAGAAAGCTCTTCCCAATTTGGACCCAAGCCTACCAAACATTCCGGATGCCACCAATCTTCGCCACATCCTCCAGTCTCAGCTGTACCAATCCCAAGGCATTGGAACATAGTACCCTTCTGCGCATGAGCATCATAATCGCACTCGCAGCCACAGAATCTATTTCTGAAGTTTTGATTGTACTTGTTGTCTGGCGCTGGCTTTTCTGAATGGACACCTCCCTTTGTATTCGTCTCGGAATTCACACGAAGTGCGCAATGTGAAGTGGCTGGCAGACGCGTTGTTCCGCAATCGCAAACAAAATCCCTCTTATGGAAAAGCTCGACCAATATATGTTCACCATGGCAGGAAATTGAGCAAGAGTAGCAAACGCCCGCTGCGGTGTAGGAGTCTGATGGGTCGGTTGGAATTGGATTGCACGTTAAGCAAGAGAAGATCTGCTGGCGCAGCTTTCCAATGGGATTTGTACATTTCTCGAATTTCTGGGATAATCAGCGCACGTCATGGGTAGTACGCTGGGTGTATTAAATACATATGGCAGGGCTTCGCGCGCATCAGCCTCAAGCTGTAATTGACTATTGATAAATCTGCAGACCATTAGTATTGCTTTCGTCGGAATGCGCGTGCTGAAATAGGAAGACTAACTCCGCAGCGGTTTGTGAGGTTTGTGAGCTTTCGGATTGGTGGGAGAAACTCAGGGTTCGAGATGGATCACTTGTCTGGATGGGCCGCTCAACGATCTTCGAATCTGGGGCCTGCGGAGCATGCATGATTAACTTTCGTAACGTTTTGTCCTGGAGATGTTGAGGGATAGTTGTGAATTGGGGTGGTCTAAGAGGTAAGGTAGAAATCAAAGGTTCCGTCAGCCTGCCGAGTCCCACCGGCGCAGCCTTACCCAAAAACCACTTAAGGCGAGAATCCAAACGCGAACGCGTCGCGTCGATCACTCAAATCTCAATACTAGTCCCATGAGAAATCTGGCAACTGCACCTTCAGGAAACAGATACTCACCTTTCATAATTATACTAGACACAGGTAATCATTCATTACGAAATGAGGTAAGAACTATTCCTCTTTCCAATACCACATCCTAGAGCCTTCCTCTAACCCCTTTTCAAACCACCACCTAACTCTTCTCGACAGTTCCCCTTTAAGAGCCAGCATGTCTTCCGCAAACCGTGGAGCAAGTGCTAGCAATCGTCGCAAGCGCTCGAGAGAGCCCGAAAGTGATGCCTCTGGTATAGGTGTATCATCTCCTGCCGGAGACATGCGATCCTCTCCTCCTGCGTACCAAATTCAGCATGGCGAGGATGACGACGACGATATCGAAGAGGATGTGGCACTCGATATTGACGATGTCGACGAGATGGCAGAAGATGAGGACGGAATTGATCTGTTTGCGAACAACTTCGAGAACGACTATAGATCCCGTGAAGATGATAGATATGACGACAAAGATATTGACGATGAGGGCGATTACGACGACATGGACATTGCAGCCCGAAGACAGCTTGGTGACCGTTTAGATCGTCGAGACCGCGAATTAGCTCGTCAGCGCCGTATGCCAGCAGCCTTCCTCCAGGACGAGGATGATGAGGGTGATCTTGATCTCACCGCCCAACCTCGCCGAAAGCGCCATCACTATGACGAGGAGGAAGACGAAGAGATGCAAGATGATATCATGGAGGAAGAGCTCTCCCTCGAGACTTTACAAGATGTGAAGGCATCCAGTCTAGTGGAGTGGGTTTCTCAGCAAGCAGTTCAGAGGACTATCAAGCGGGAATTCAAGGCTTTCTTGACAGAATATACTGATGAGCATGGTGTTTCGGTCTACGGAAGTCGAATTCGAACCTTGGGAGAAATCAACTCTGAATCTCTCGAGGTTTCTTACGATCACCTCTCATCATCTAAAGCTATTTTGGCTTACTTCTTAGCAAATGCTCCTGGAGAGATGCTCAAGCTGTTCGACGAAGTTGCGTTCGAAGTCACTCTTCTCCATTATCCAGACTACGAGAACATCCATTCTGAAATCCACGTTCGAATTTCGGATTTGCCTGTGCATTACACTCTCCGTCAACTCCGCCAGACCCATCTAAATTGTCTAGTTCGCGTCAGTGGAGTCGTTACTCGACGAAGCGGAGTTTTTCCGCAGTTGAAATATGTCATGTTCGACTGCGGGAAGTGCGGGACCAGACTCGGTCCTTTTCAGCAAGAATCCAATGTCGAAGTCAAGATCTCTTACTGCCAGAACTGTCAATCACGCGGACCATTCAACTTGAATTCCGAAAAGACAGTCTACCGAAATTACCAGAAGCTTACTCTTCAAGAATCACCCGGAACAGTTCCTGCAGGTCGTCTCCCACGCCACCGTGAGGTTATCCTGCTATGGGATTTGATTGACAGAGCGAAGCCAGGAGAGGAAATAGAAGTCACAGGTGTCTATCGTAATAATTATGATGCTCAATTGAATAACAAGAACGGCTTCCCTGTGTTTGCTACTATTCTTGAGGCAAACAACGTTGTCAAGTCCCATGATCAACTTGCCGGCTTCAGACTCACTGAGGAAGATGAGCAGGCCATTCGAACTTTGGCCCGTGACCCCCAAATTGTCGACAAGATCATCCACTCCATGGCACCAAGTATTTATGGTCACACCGACATTAAGACTGCCGTTGCACTCTCACTGTTCGGTGGTGTCGCCAAGGACAGACAAGGAAAGCATCACATTCGCGGAGATATTAATGTGCTCCTTCTTGGTGATCCTGGAACTGCCAAATCACAGGTTCTGAAATATGTCGAAAAAACTGCCCATCGGGCCGTTTTTGCAACAGGTCAGGGTGCCAGTGCAGTTGGTTTAACAGCAAGTGTTCGAAAGGATCCCTTGACCAGCGAATGGACTTTGGAAGGTGGTGCCTTGGTTCTTGCAGATAGAGGCACCTGCCTTATTGACGAATTTGACAAGATGAACGATCAGGACCGAACATCTATTCATGAGGCCATGGAGCAACAGACTATCTCCATCTCGAAAGCCGGTATCGTTACCACTCTACAAGCACGCTGTGGCATCATTGCGGCAGCTAATCCTATCGGCGGACGCTACAACTCCACAATCCCTTTCTCGCAAAATGTCGAACTCACAGAGCCCATTTTGTCTCGTTTCGATATACTGTGTGTGGTACGCGACACTGTTGATCCAACCGAGGATGAGCGACTCGCTAGATTCGTTGTTGGATCTCATGGACGATCTCATCCAAGTTCTCAGCCTTCCGAAAGCCAAATGGATGTCGAGCAGGAGTCAGGTGCAGCCAACGGTGGCGAGCCAAAGCAAGAAGGCGAAATACCTCAGGAGCTTCTTCGTAAATTCATTCTCTATGCCAGAGAGAGATGTAGCCCGAAGCTATACAATATCGATGAGGAGAAGGTCTCGAAATTGTTTGCTGATATGAGAAGAGAGTCACTTGCAACTGGTGCCTATCCGATTACCGTGAGTGTCTTCGATTCTGTTCAATAGTCATTACTAACATTTACAGATCCGTCATCTCGAAGCTATCATGAGAATCAGTGAGGCATTTTGCCGCATGCGACTTTCAGATTATGTCTCTTCCCAAGACGTCGATCGCGCCATTGCCGTCACGATCGACTCCTTCGTTGGAAGTCAAAAGGTCAGTTGTAAGAAAGCTCTTGCTCGTGCATTTGCCAAGTACACCCTCGCTCGACCTGGGGCTAGAAAGAAGGCTGGTGCTGGACGCAATTTGGAGAAGGCAAGAGCGCCAACTGCTGCGATGGCTTAGATTGGGTTTGTTATACGGAGTCATGGATACCTGGTCTTCGGAATGATGAGGAGTGTACAGTAAAGATTTGCTATGAAGTAATGTCAGGCTCGAGGTCGATAGAAAATCCATGGTCTCCTACAATGACGAAGTCAATATTTCCCTTCTTGTTAGTCTATTCCTCCTGAAGTGCTATGCTTAGTAAGTGCTTTGACGACGATTTGATTATGCATTCGCTCGCTCTGACGATCTGCCACCATGTCCTGAGGACGACACTCTACTCGCTGAGGGTTATATTTCATTCAGCATTTTATCACATTTCAGGCCCTTTAGTCGTGGCTCCAAGGATCGGCAAATGTTTTGAATAATATTGGATTGAAATAACGTTCACAAGCTATGAGGTGTGAGATCGTATCCCGCTTAGCTCAGTGGTAGAGCGCATCACTTGTAATGCCACATGGCCAGAATACATGATGAGGTCGCTCGTTCGATCCGGGTAGTGGGAATTGGAACATATAATGGGAATATCATTAATTTTGGATATATTTTTGTAATTTCATCTTCGCTTAATTATTTTTTCCCTTTACATGGTCCCATGTTGAGTTCATTACCTTTCCAAGTCTGCAAGCAATCCATACATAACCTTCGGCAATCCAATCACCGCAGAGCTATTATTTATTGCCATGCCAGTATCAAATTATTGCTTATCGGTCCCGTCGTCAGACAGATCACTCGGGAAACGTTCCGTGCTTTGATCCGCGCCTTCCTCGTCACTTTCACTTCCTACGGGCAAAGGCTCACTTAGCCATTTTGCCACAGACTCTTCGTCGGCAGCAGCGCTGAACTCAAGCAGCGCTCCCGGCTTCTTTAAGTTAAGAGGTGCTCCTGACTGATCTCGAAGGATCGTTTTCTTTGCTCCGCGGAGGGCCGTTGTCGCATTTCGCTTTGCCTTTGGCTCTTTCGGCTTCTTTCCCTGTTCCTGGTCTTTCATGATTCTACACATTCCCCGTCAGTAAGATGTGCGTACATACAATCTTGGTTTCAGGTCTATTACACACCTGCGAGTCGTCGTAAGGAGTTCACTGACTTTTCTCTCGTATATTGGAAGGTATGCCGTCACTATTTGAACGCCAGAGGCGTGGCCCCGGACGCTGGACCAGAATGCATCAAGATCGTTGGTCGGAGAGTGCCGACTGAAGATTGATGAGATTTCTTCAGCTGTTTTGTGGCAATCCGCTTCGACGATCCTCCACAGTTCGCCGTCTAATTCCTCGACCTCTCGCTTGTGAGCATCGAGGAGGAGAAATTTGTGGATTCGATTAGTATGGTCGAATTGGAGCTTCAAGGCGACAAGACTCGCTCGCCAATTCTCCATTTTCGCTAAATAATACACTGAAAAGACGGTCCAAACAGATGGCAGAGTGGCAAGGCATAAGCCGACTACTAGACGTAGCACGTAGCCATTGATAGAATACCCCATGATTACCGGCATTGTTCTAACACGTAGCTTGCGAAAGGATATCCTGTATCGCGAAAAAGTCTGTTAAGCAAACTGAGATTAATCCGGGGTTTTGTGGGAATGTCACGACCTTTGATGATGAGATTTCCCTTTGTGTCCGGTTGCAGCATTTCTTGTTGGCAATCTTGGAAGAGCTCAGATATCCCAAGTGGAAGAGACGCCATTCTATTCAAGTAAAAGGTAGGAATTTTGAGGAATTTTCTTGCGATTTGCCCGAGTACTTCAACAGTCATATCGATGACATTACTATCACACAGATGATCAGAGTTGTATTCCTGGGAAGTAAAATGTCGTCTCGATGACGATTGAATTAAAATCTGGCTAAGAATTCAATATATGACTGTGTTCACATTCGGGCGGCAAACATCTTACTTCTTTGTTTGACTGCAGTCCTTGTCTGGATTTGGAAAACATCATTTGTACTTGAGGAACTTGGTTCTTTCTGATCTCAACACGCTATGGGTCTCATTTTCCCAAGCAAATCTCGACAGACGACTTTTTTATGATACAAAAGGACATTCTAATAGCCTTCCACGCATGAATCACCATTATGGGTGCGGTCTCTAAGCCAACTCCTTCAAGCTCGAGATGGATCAGCTTCAAAGCACTCTCCTTTCTGTATATGTTCGCCTCCCAGTCGTTTGCGCAAAACGGCACTTGTACTGTCCCACTACTTTTTGAGCCTACGAGATTACAGAATCGCGAGCCAACAGATCCTAGCTTTGCAGATAATGCACAGTTTCAGAAACAGGTTGTGGACGACCACAACTTCTATAGGAGCCAGCATGGCGCCAGCCCATTGAAATGGAACGACCAACTTGCGTTGTCAAGTAACGACTGGGTCAATAAATGCCAGTGGGGGCATTCCGTAAGTCCAAAGTACCTCTTCTTGCCTGCCAAAGTTTTATCTGACCGTGGATCGCTCCCAAGGGCCATCAAGGAGTTGGTGAAAACATCGCTTTGGGATACAGCAAGGCGCTCGATGCAATCAACGCTTGGGCTTTAGAAAGAGTGAACTATAACTTCAACAAACCAGGATTCGGTTCACAAACCGGACACTTCACACAGGTCGTTTGGAAAACAACCACAGATGTAGGCTGTGCCAGAAAACAATGCCGTAAGTTCAACAGTGTCGCTATTGATGGCGACTGACAAGTAAATAGAGGTGCCGGGTTTTTCAAACGGAAATCCTACTTGGTATTTAGTCTGCCAATATCAGTCTCCTGGAAATGTAGTAAATGCTGGGCAATTTGAAGAAAACGTAGGACGGCAGATATCAGGAGATCCGAAAGTCGGCATTCCCGGTACGCTCTCCAGCACGCCTCCAAAATCGAGTGGTTCTCCAACACGCACAGCGGCTCCTGTGCCCACGAGCCAAGCGAAAACTGAAATTGCGATCACAACCGTCACAGTTACAGTGACTGAAGATGCGGCTTCTCCATTCAAAGTATCTTCTCCGGCAGAAACAGGGAAGACTCCAGCGGATTCAAGGCCCACTACGGGCCCTTTCTGGGGTAACCTCAAAACGGGAATATATGAAAACTCTTTCCTGAATATCATAAGGCGACGTGGTGGATCTGGAAGGGTCGAAGAGGATGTGATTCTTGCTATGATTAGCATCTTGGTTGCGATTACTTTTGCTCTTATGTGAGCTTCTGTAAGACTGGCTGTACATAGGCAAATCCATTTATTGTCTTGACACTGTGCTCATTATCGTGTAGCTTTTGGAAGCACATCACAATCACACAAGTGTCACTAAACACTGCTGCTCATTTCTCAATAACTTTGAAATACCGTCAGCCCACTCATCCATAGCCTCCCAATCCCTCTGATCTTCGTACTTGAGCCCAAAGCAAGTGAAGAAGAAATTGAAACAGCCTACCATCTGCTGCTTGGAAACGCAACCCCAAAAAAGCTTGTGTTCTTGAACTGGGATCTTCTTCGATACGCAACCAGTTATGTCCCTCTCTTCGGCGAGGAATTTGTTCTCTGGGGGCTTTCCAGCGCTGAAAGCCCAAGTTGGCTTAGGATTGTCACGGAGTGCTGTTGCGTTCTCCTTGATGAACTTGCTGCCTTTCTTTACCCAGCTTCCCATATGAATGCAAGACCCGACGATAATAGCATCTAGGTGGATATGTTAGAACTGTCCGGCCCCGAAACTGGGAATCCACACATTTGATGCTACAAAGGCCGAATCCAATGAACTACCGAAATCCTTGACTGATGGTTTAGTCTCAACGGATGCTAGAATGACACTGCCGACATCAGCAGCAGACATCCTGTCGTGGATTCGCGCTGCAATAGATCTTGCAGTTCCAATCTTGGTTGCGTATACAATAAGTATTTTCGTGATCAGCTTGATTTGCTGAGATGGTCGAGAGATTCGCGTAACAGGATGTCATTTAATTGGTCTGGAAGGAAAGACAACGATTGTAAGAAATTTGTCCCTCTTATCTAGTGCAGAGATATATATGTGTGAAAGAAAGGTGGTCTGTAAGTGGGGAGACTGTCGTATTTGTGTATCAGGTGAGGGTTAGGCCTCGCATCATACCACTATCTTAGTAAGTGTACAGGCAGGCAATAACTCAAGGGGAAAAACAAATCAATCCGAAGCATACTACATGTCCCCAGTACTGATCATCGGAAAATGAATGTCGGAGGAGAAGGGCACTGGCGAGGGGGGCTTTATAGTCCCAGTAGCTGGCACTAGCTCGTCATGATTCCAGTGCTCCTTCCTTTCTTCAGAACGGTGCTGGAATTCGACATCTTGAGTTTAGTGCTGACTATCTGCGGTCTCCAGTTTCGATTACTCACACATTCGCATTGGGCTTCTCGTATCAAACAGTCATTGCTTGCAGCAAGCACTCTAATCTTGCAGCGACATCTCTCACGAATCTCACGGGCTCGACTGCGACTGCTCGTTATCCCTAGAATTTTGGCTTCTAGCCCGCCACTTTGTAAGTAACGTCATGTCTGCCCTTGCCCTCGTTGTTATTCCCTGGTCTTGTGATCGAATTGCAGCGAGTCCTCGCTTTACGTATAGGTACCGACCATGTCAGCTGAACCTTCCTCTTCCCCTGCAGCGTACCCCATAGGACACTCACTGCCTCTGGGGATCTTTTCTTTTCTTTTTCGCCGTTTGGTAGTCAGCGACAAGGCTGAGATGGCGATGTGCGAGTCTTCGTCTTCCAATAAAACCGATGTCCATGAGATTTCTCGCTTAATGATGGACTTCAAAACAAAGACTGCGAGATTTGCCATGTCGATCGCTAATACTTGTAGTATATTGATTGACATTTCAAGCGCGAGCACTGCTTACAACGCATCCTCAAATTAGGTATCAATACTTGCAGTGGCTATAATTATGAACGAGACGCAAAATTAACCTCCAGGAATGATGCAATTTCAGCGATCTTGAAAATAGCACTCGTTTAATGTCCGTATTCAATTCATGCCACTTTATGGTCACACTCATTGATAACAAACAGTTCCAAGCAGATAGATACTTAATAGCCGCTGGTATGCCGCGGGCAAGATCATTTGAGCCCCGCTGACCCACTACCTATCACTCCCGTCAGAAGTGGGATATTAGGTTCTTAATTTTGATTACTTCGCTATCTACACTTGATTTTCCTGAATAAAATATGTAAGCATAATACTATTCCCAGTAAGACTTTGTTCTCCTCCGATGTTTTACCTTTGCAGAAATTGTGTTAAGGACTTTCGTTAAAACCGAACTCTCGTGTTCTTGAGTTGGTTGAGTGCCATTTGTTTGACCACCTTCAATATGGTGAACTTAATGCACCATTATGTATTAGTGCTGTGTCTCCTACACGATGTTGTATCTGGAGTGAGTATGTCTGAGCCTCGGCAAAATTGCCCTAAAGACAGCGATTCCTGGAACTCGTAAGTCAAGCTACATACAATCAGCAGAAGAAATTTCAAAGCCGCTAAGCCCTCACCAGAAGCCCAGCCTCCATCTCCTGC